TCTCTCTCTCTCTCTCTCTCTCTCTCTCTCTCTCTCTCTCTCTCTCTCTCTCTCTCTCTCTCTCTCTCTCTCTCTCTCTCTCTTTCTCTCTCTCTCTTTCTCTCCCCCCCCCCCCTCTCTCTCTCTCTCTCTCTCTCTCTCTCTCTCTCTCTCTCTCTCTCTCTCTCTCTCTCCTCTCTCTCTCTCTCTCTCTCTCTCTCTCTCTCTTTCTCTCTCGCGCTCTCGCTCTCTCTTTTCTCTGTCTCTCTCTCTCTTTTTTCTCTATATTATATATATATATATATTTATTCATATATATACATCTCTATTTATCTGTACATATGTTTTACTTCTGTTTCTCTTTCATTTATCCATACTTTTCATTCATCAGATTTCATATTAAAACATAACAAACTTTCTCCCAGTCAGGGAGCCTAAACACACACACACACACATACACACACACACACATACACACACACACACACACACACACACACACACACACACACACACACACACACACACACACACACACACACACACACACACACACACACACATACACACTCATACACATACACAAACGCACACACACACACATACACACACACAGATACATACACACACACACACACACACACACACACACAGAGCGAGAGAGAGACAGACAGACAGACAGACAGACAGACAGACAGACAGACAGACAGACAGACAGACAGGCAAACAGACAGAAAGACAGACAGACAGACAAACACACAGACAAACACACAGACAGAAGGAGAGAGCGACAGAGGGAGATATAGACAGATAGACAGACCGACAAACAGATAAACAGACAGACAGAAACAGGATGGGGACAAGAGAAAGACAGAGGAAGAGACAGTCAAACCAACAGACAGACAAACAGACAGACAAACAGACAGACAGAGACAGAGGACAAGGAGGAGGGGGGGGTGGCAAGAGGGCAGTAGTTCGTCGCAGATTGAATCCCAGCGGGAGAGGTCGATCGGAAGGGAAATCGAGGTGGAAATCACAGGACCAGGGTTTAGGAAGTCGAAGACCTGAGGGCGAAGGAGGGGATGCGCTAACAAGGGAGGAGGAGGAAGAGGAAGAGGAAGAGGAGGAGAAGGAAGAGGAGGAAGAAGAGGAGGAAGAGAAGGAGGAGGAAGAGGAAGAGGAAGAGGAGGAGAAGGAAGAGGAGGAAGAAGAGGAGGAAGAGAAGGAGGAGGAAGAGGAAGAGGAGGAGAAGGAAGAGGAGGAAGAAGAGGAGGAAGAGAAGGAGGAGGAGGAGGAGAAGAAGCAGAGGAAGGAGGAAGGGAAGGGGGAGAAGGAGGGAGAGAAGAAGGAGGAGGAGGAGAAAGAGGAGGAAGAAAAGGAGGAGGAGAAAGAGGAGGAAAAGGAGGAGGAGGAGGAGGAAGAAGAGGAAGGGAAGGAGGAAGAAGGGAAGGAGGAGGAGGAGGAAGAAGAGGAAGGGAAGGAGGAGGAAGGAAAGGAGGAGGAGGAAGAGGAGGAGAAGGAGAAGGAGGAGAAGGAAGAAGAGGAAGGGAAGGAGGAGGAGGAGGAAGAATAATATAGTGAAAGGAGGAGGAAGAGAAGAAGCAGAGGGAGGAGGAAGGGAAGGAGGAGAAGAAGAGGAGGAGAAGGAAAAGGAAGAGAGTGAGAGGAGGAGAAAGAGAAGAGAGGAAGAAGAGGAGGAGAAAGAGAAGGAGGAGGAGGAGGAGGAAGAAAAGGAGAAGGAGGAGGAGGAGAAGGAAGAAGAGATTATTATCATTATTTTCACCATTACCGTCACCAACACCATCACTATAATTATTCTTACAATCACTGTCTTCATCACCAGCATCGTTATCATTATCATAAATAAATATATTTGAAGAAAAAAAATAATAATAGGGACACAAAGCACGTTAATTTTTCCTTTTTTGCTTAGCGCTGTCAAAGCCCGGTACATAGAGCGCAGTGTGTCAAGAGATTTATGCAGATTAGTGAGCTTCCTTATTATGTCGAGACAATAGACTCTGTCACTGCAAATCTTAATTCAATTCATCATAGTCGAGACTCATTTTTTTTCTTTAATGGAAGTGGATTGAGTGAAGAAATTAAAGATCAAAACACAGTGTATATGGAAATGGGATTAATGATGAAGTTTGGTAATAACAACGGATGGGTGGGTGGGTGGGTTGGGGGGGGGGATTGTGTTGTTGTTATCGCAGGTGAGATTAATTCTGATTAATGATAAGTGCTAAATATATTGGTGATGATGATAAGAAGTGTAAGAATGAGGGCATGTATTTCATTATTACGTTTATTGTCTCTCTCCAAGTACAGTCAGCGGCAGTGGTGAGTTGGGATCCTCACAGTCCTAAATGGCAAACACAAAACAGTTATTTTTGTTAATAATATGGGGTAACTGTCGACATTTTTTCCAGTTTTGTTAATGAAGTGGCCCCTTGACCAACACAACGCTTAGTGAAGCTTCTGAAATTGACACTTCTACAGTTAATGATAAACGTGCAAA